ATTTTAGAATGAATCTGACAAATTCCATTAAACTTTTGTTGGATTTTTATTTATAGATTAATTGGAAAGAACTGATTTGTCTATGATATTGAGTCTTTCTATTCACATGCTTTCTGTACCTCACCAGATAGTCAGGTTCTTTTATGCTTCTCATTAACTTTTATGATTTTTCTCTATAAAAGTTGAAGCCTGGGCCCTGGCAGGGTAATTCAGTTGGTTATCAACCTGATACACCAAGATTGTGGGTTTGATTCCAGGTCAGGGCACATATAAGAATCAACCAATAGCTCCAGCTGGTTTGGCTCAGTGGATAGAGCGTCGGCCTGCAGACTGAAGGGTCCCGGGTTCGATTCTGGTCAAGGGCACATGCCTGGGTTGCGGGCTTGATCCCCAGTAGGGGGTGTGCAGGAAGCAGCTGATCAATTATTCTTTCTCATCATCTCTCTCCCTTTCTCTTCTTCTCTGAAATCAATAAAAATATATATATTTTAAAAAGAATCAACCAATGAATGCATAGTAAGTGGAACAACAAATCTCGCTCTCTCTTTCTTTCTAAAACTCAATAAATAAAAGTTATTAAAAATAAAAGTTGAAGCTTGGGCTATCCTTGGTCTCCCTGAGGCTGGGTCTATTCTCCTGCCACTTCCTATTCTCCTAGGTCTTCCTGGCTCCAAGGAGAGCCAGATGAATTCTCCCACCCTCAAAAGCCAGCCCTTCTACTTTTTACTGCTCGGCCACAGTGGGATTCTTGTAAGCATCAGGATCTGAGATGTGTTCATGTGCTGTCGTTTTTTGCATGAGTTTGTTGTGAAATTGGAAAAATAATCTTGTGCAAATGAAAAGGCTCCCTCTACTTTTCTCTGAAGCTTAGCTGTTACCCACCCTGCCCCTTCTCCCTCCCTGACTGAGTGTGTCATCTTTGCTTCTGAACTTAAACTCCTCCCCTGTCCAGCCTGGCCTTACTCCCACACAGCGCCCCAGGGTGAATGACCCTGTTACTGCATAGTCTCACTCAGTCCTGCCCACACACCTTTACCCATTATTTATCCTATCCTGATATGCCTTTTCTCATCTATTTTGCCTAACCAACTCCTTCACTAATTCAGCACCAATTCAAGTCTCCTTTCCTTTTTGAAACACTCCTTACATTTGGTATTAAACAATTTTGTGCTTAATTGTATACCTAGCCAGACCCGGAGTGGTGGGCTGAAGAAAGAGCATGACTCAAGGCAGGAAAACATGGGCCAGATTACAGTCTTATCATGTATTAGCTGTGATACTTTGTGCAAGTCGCCTAATTTCTCTCAGCCTTGATTTTCTCATTTGTAAAATGGAAATAATACTACCCATTTTGAGTGTTGTCTACCAAACTGTACTGAAAGATCTTTTGCCAATAGCTACTTGTTTCTTTCACAGTGCCTTGAAGAGGTTGTAAAATACAGTGGGGCCTTGACTTACGAGTTTAATTCGTTCTGTGACGGAGCTCATAACTCAAATTACTCGTATGTCAAATCATAAAGTGAACGAGTGAGACACGTGATGCTGGGCTGATGTTGTGGCGTTCACTGTGATGTTCGCTGCGCCAAGTAGCAGTGGGGTATCTGAAGCTGGCTCATAACCCGAATTTTAGCTCACAACTCAAAGCAAAAAATCGGCCGAGAGACGGCTCATATCTCGAAAAACTCGTTAGTCGGGACACTCGTAAGTCAAGGCCCCACTGTATGTGCAAAAGCAACACTTTGAAGGTGACCCTGTAGGGAAGTTCTTGGTCACCTGTACTAATAAAGAAATTGGTAGGCCAAGAACATCAGATTATCCAAAAATACCTGTATTTAATTTCTGAATAAACTGAGTTTGTGGAGCAGCAAATTTTTCTTATTAATTGTATTTTATTTGGGGTAATATTAAAACCAGTTTGCATTTTCTAAGGCTAGAATTAAAACATTGTCTTAGAAAATCCACAAGATGGATTCGTCTTTGTCTAACAAACAGAATGCTGACTACATCAAATTATCTTGATAAACACAGAGCACATGAAAGGTTTAGAATGGACAGCTTCAGATCATAAACCTCTTTAGAATTGTGCTGTTCCTTCTGAATATTCCAGGAACACTCATGAAGCAAGTGTTCAAAATATCATTTCTAAATATGTCCCCTTTGTAAAAATTCTTGCCTGCTGAATACAAGGAAAGCATGTGACCTCTTTCTTACCTGTAGTCTGTAAGCTTAAACCTGGGTCCAACTTTGTGTGAGGCTTCGAGCTGATGAACAGGTAACAGAGCACACAGGCGGTGACAACGAAGGCCAGGAGGACCACCGCTGCTATGGACAGGCCCACAAGAGCGCCAATACTGGGGAGAGAAGACCATAGAGGAGCTGAGCTTCAGGAAGGGACTTTGGAGGCAGCATGTTATAGGAGAAGTGTCCTTCTGTCTCTACTTGTCTTAAACAGGCTTTCTGTGCCTAAGCATGGGAAAGAGTATCAACTATATGTCAAGTATTCCCCACATACATGGCATGCCTCAGTGCAACCACATAGTTGGGACTCAGTACTATAGTTTACTCACTAGATGATTTATTAAAAAGGATATTAAAGGATTCAAATCCACAGCCAGATGCAGAGATACATAGGGTGATGTCATGAACAAAAGAGCTTTGGGGAGCTTGAGGCCTGGTAGCACATGGAAGCATTCTTGTTCCCCAACGTGGAAAAGCTCTCCAAAAAATAAAAATAAAAAGATCAACTACTGTCCTTTTGGGTTTTTACAGAGGCTTCATTATGTCGTCATGATTGACTAAGTTATTGCCCATTGACAACTGAACTCAACCTCCAGCCCTTCTCCAAGAGGTCGGGAAAAAGGGGCATGGGGAGGACTGAAACCAAACCTCTAATCATGTGGTTGGTTTTCCTGACAACCAGACCCTGCCCTTGGGTGGAGCCCAAAAGACACCTTTATTATTTTCAACACTTAGGACATTCCATAGGTTTTGGGAGCTGTGAGCCAGGAATTGTGGATAAAGACCAAATACCTTATAAGTCACAGCATCGCAGACTCCTTCTAACCCTCCTCCCTGACCCAAGCCACAGACTCCTTCCTGCCTTTGCCATTTCTGCCAGATTTCATTTCCTGCTAGCTGATGGCTAATTTCCACTAAACAGAAACACCTTAGAGCTTCAGAGAATCTGTATTCCCATGGCTAAATAAATTATTGGATACCCCTGCAATGGAGTAATATAGAGCCCTTAAAAACATGTTTTCAAATAACATTTAAGATCAAGGCTCAATCCAGATGAGATAATGTTAAATGAAAAGAGGACACACTACTAAATATATAACATAACCCCAACTCAAATAAATTGACATAAATATATACATAATTATACATATGCAAGGTTGGACAGAAATACACCAAAATGCTAACAGGCTGTCGCTGGCTGAAGCCCAGGCTCTGAATGTCCTGTCCCTGCCCCATTAGGTTTATAATTGTAAAATATTCTGGCCAGAGTTTCAAATGCTAGCATTTGTATCTTTTTGCCTGAGGGCTTTCTTGGGCCCAGAACAGTACCAACACAGTGAGCAGGTCAGAAGTGCAGGAAAATGAACGCCTGCCTTCTCACACCAGCACACAACTAATGACTGACATAAGTAGGTACGTAAATACCCAGTTTTTTGGCACTTGGGCCGAATGACTCTGAGATGTAGATTCTACATGGGCTGGCTGAGTTTAACAGGTTTAAGTTCCGGTGATCCTCAGTGGTGACTTACTTGGTAACACCATCATTAGCTCCTTCCCTCCCCACCTCCTCAATTCCCCACCCTCCACCGGTGTCTTTTAGAATTGATTTCATGTAAACTATCTGCCCTCAAATCCTTGTTTCCAAGTCTTTTGGGGAAACCAAGTTAAAATACTGGATCTCCCATGATTTCTTTCCTCTTTTATCTCTCCTGTCCTTTCCACATTTTCCACATAGAGCATGTAGTACTTGTTAGTTCTTTGGGCATTATTTCCTCTTTTGAGATATAGTTATCTAATCTAATAATAGACAAACATGGTAATTGACTGTACCTTCGCTACGCCTCCCATTTGCTAATCAGTGTGATATGCAAATTAACCACCAACAAAGATGGCAGCTAATTTGCATACTGCAGGCACGGCAGGACAGCGCCATCCCGTCTGCCCCGCCACCATCCGGGCCTGCTATCTGCGACCCGGGGCGGCGGGCAGGACTGTGACAATCCCCGCCACCCGCCCCACCCTCATCCGGCCCTCCCACGGGGGACCCAGGGCTGGCGGCTGGAAGGCTGCTCCAGCCGGAGCGAAGGCCTGGGTCCCAGGTGCCGGAGGAAAACCGGTGCCAGCAGCCAGGGGGAGGGAAGGTGTGTTGCACGAATTTTTTCGTGCAACAGACCTCTAGTAGTTTATAATGCTCTTAGCTGGAGACTTGTGCACAAGTTGGGATCCCACCTTTTACAAGGGACATCTATGGCCACCTGAATGGAAAAGGGCCCTCTAAAAGTAGGGTCCTTTGAAGAGTGGGTGAGCCTTAGCCTGTTTGTCTCAGTGGATGGAGCGTCGGCCTGGACTGAAGGGCCCTGAAATTTAATCCCAGTCAAGGCATGTACCTCAGTTGCAGGTTCTCTGGCCCTGGTCAGGGTGTGTGCAGGGAGGCAAACCAATCAATGAGTTTCTCTCACATTGATGTTTCCCTCTGACTCTCTCTCTCTCTCTCCTTTCCACTCTCTCTAAAAATCACTGTAAGGCTCTAACCGGTTTGGCTCAGTGGATAGAGCGTCAGCTGCGGACTGAAAGGTCCCAGGTTCGATTCCAGTCAAGGGCATGTACCTTGGTTGTGGGCACATTCCCAGGGGGAGGTGTGCAGGAGGCAGCTGATCGATGTTTCTTTCTCATTGATGTTTCTAACTCTCTATCCCTCTCCCTTCCTCTCTGTAAAAAAAAATCAATAAAATATATTTTTAAAAAATAAAAAATAAAAAAAAATCACTGTAAGGATTAACAACAACAACAACAACAACAACAAAAAGTGGGTGAGAGAGCTGAGGGGGGGATATATCCCAGATCAGTGGTTAGTCAGGAAGTGGGCACTGTTTCTGATGGTTTGTCTGGGGACAGAGGAACCAGCCCCCAAGTACAGAGCTGGGACAGAGCAGGAGAAGCTCTAAGGAGGGAAATCTGTGCCTAGCACAAGATGAACTTTAAATGGTCAGAGTTGTCCCATGTATTGCCTCGAGAGGGGTAAATTCCCTATGATTGGACAGATTTACACAGAACACCTGGATGAGGACACCTTTCAATGAAGTTAGAGATTCCTGCCCTGGGTGAGAAATTGAACAGCTGCTAGCTCTTCAATTCAATTTCACAGATTTATGACTATGGTTTCACAGATTTATGACTCTGAAATATAGATAACCTACTGTGGTCCCCTAGAAAAACATTGGAGGGTCAGTCTAACATTTGTTAGGGTTTTTGAGTCGGGCAAGTCTAATTTTGAATCTTGGTTCTGTCACATATAAGCTGAAAAATCCTTCATCTCTTGATCTTCATTTTCTTCATCTGTAAAGGTTCCTATCTCAGGTGTTCATAAGGTTAAATAAGACAGTGCCTGACCACTAATTCTGCCCTCCAGCAAGGCCACTGCCTTTGTCTCACATCCTAATTAAAAAATAATAATAACAGGGTGATTGGAAAGTGGACCAGATAGTTATAACGCCAGCTGCTTATCCACAGGGAACCTTTTCTTCCTCCTCCTCCTCTTCTTCCCTCCCCTTTCCTTTTTCTTTTTGAGTCTTCACTTCTTGAGACATGGTTTTAAAGACAGCAATTCTCATTCTCCTTGAGGTCTATTGAAGGAAACAGTATTTACCTGAAGATTTATGTTTTTTAAGGGCCAGCTTTCATGAAAAGGGTCAAGTAGAGTCCAGAGCAAAATAAGGTCTCTACCTGCAATGGCAGGGAACTGATAGGAGCATGCCAGTAGAGTTTTCAGGGTTTGGGACACACTGATCACCCAGATGTCCTGAGGACCTTCAGTTTTCCTCCTCCACTTTGCAATAGCCTGTGGTGTTTATAAACCACCTTATATTCAAACTGAGGAAGAGTCAGCCCTGCAAGCTAGAACCGTTCAGCTGCCCTTGGGGGTCATAAGATGGGAGCACACTAACATGTGATGTGACCTCAGAACTTACCCCATTACACCCATTACCTGGTTGTCTAAGCCACTAAAGTGTTCTATTGAGGGTCCAAGGCAACTGGAGGGACACAGGGGTGTATAGGGAAAAGGGTTGGTCGTAGAGGGTTGGGGTTCTGGCTGGGTGCAGAGAGCTTACTCATCTCTCTGTTCCCAAGGGAAGGGCTAGCACAGCGCTCAGAAGACAGTGAAGGGTCATGAGTATTTTTTCAAGTGATCTGAGTAGAGCAGGTTGTAAGACAGCCAGGCTACATTTAGACAGTTGTGCAGCAGGACAAGCCTGGGCTTGGAGCCGGACAGGCTTGTGGCACTCCCTGATAGTAACCTCATGGCTTTCAAGTTTTCTCATCTGTGAATTGGAGAGAAAACGTGCCAGGTTGCAAATGTGTGACTGCATCTAGCCTTGGATGGTCCTAGGTAATGTTCTTTAAATCTCAGTCTGCTGTGACATTGCTAGAAGATCTCGAACAATTCACTTTCATATTCCAAGTTTCCCTTTCCCCACTTATGAGCATGGGAAAGGGAACTCACATTTATTGAGCATCTACAATACATCCTAGTCACTTTCACATGCATACTTCACTTAATCCTCACAACAATTCCATAGGACAGGTATTACTATTACCATTTCAGAGATGAAAAAGAGGCTCGGAGATAGTTTGCCTGAATTCACATAGCTATTACTAGTAAGTGACAGAGCCGAGGTTTGGACTGGGTTCTAACCACTCCAAAAGCTCCACATTGTCTCTATACTTCAAAGGGAAGTAAGTACTATTATACTGGTACTTCAGCACCCACTTCAGTGCTAAGTACACAGTGAGTTTTAAACAAAGACTCCATTGTTACACGTTAGGTACATGTCTTATCTCTCTGAATGGACTGTAAGCTCCTGAGGGGCAGGGAATAATTGATTTTTGTGTCCCCAGTGCATAGCATAGCACCTGGCATACAGCAAAGGCTATAATAAATGAATGAAAACATGGATGAACAGAAAATAAATTAATATACTTCTCTGGGTTACAGATAGCAGCTGAGTGTGCAGGAACTGAAAAACTAGCTATCTGAAAGTCCTTTCGAATTATGGTTTGAGCTGTTTAGAAAAAGCAATAATAATAACTCTAATTGTCAGTGGCATATGCCAAGTTGGTTTTCACCTCTTTATTTCATTTGGTTCTTGCCCTAGTAGGAAATCAGGGCAATGATTTATCATCCTTCCCATTTGATAGATGAAAAGACAAAGGCTCAGAGAAGTTTGAGTGGCAGGCTGTCCCACTCAGAGGGCATGCAGCCGCTGGTGAACTACCTCCAGGGACAGGAAAATCACTGTCTACTGAGTTAGCCCACTCCGTTTCCGCTGATGCCTATTTCCCAGAGCAAGTTTGGGGTCAAGTCTTACTTTCTGGGTGAGGCCTTTGGAGATGGAGAGAGATTGAGACCAATTGCTCTCAGCCCCACACTGAAGTTCCAGGAATATCAGCAACGGCCTAACTAATCCCTTCCCTGAACTAGTGGGGAAACTGAGGCCCTGTGTGTGGATCTTCAGGCAATGACACTGCTATGGCACAGCCTGAGCGGGCTTCTGCTGTAGCATTATGCCATCGTCTCATGATGAACTTGAAGGCAGCCTTGATCCCTGGGTCTTCTGTCTTAGCTCAGGAGGGGAGTACACCCCCAGCACTGAGCACAGGGCCTAGAAAAGCTGTGCTCAGCAGGAGGTGGCTGAAAGAATGACTGAATGGCAGGGGGAAGAAAAGAGTTGAGGCTGGGCTGAGGCTGGGGTTGAGCTGGCGTGTAGCCTCAGGTGAGGAGTAAGGCTTGAAGCTGAGGTTTGGATGTAGGTCTATATAATGTTTGGAATCAGGGTGGGGAAGGAGAGCTGCGGTGGGATTGCAGGGGGAATTAGGGGCAGGTTGAGCTGGTGGATAGATGGGTATTGAGGAGTCAAGTCAGGGATGAGGTTGATGTTGATTTTAGGAAGGAGACCCTGGTGGGTACTTGAATGAGGGTGGAGTTTGTGTTTCCTGTGAACATTGGAAGATGGGAGTTTGCTGTTGGGGAGAGGGTTGGTATGTAATTTGGGGTTGGGTTGAGGGTGGTGGTGGATGACGCTTGGAGAGGGTTTAAACTGAAGGTTTTCCTGGGTGGAGTTGGGGTGAGGTTCAAGCTTTGATTTGAATAATGGGTCGGATCAGGATCAGGAGGGGGGAATGGAGCTGAGAAGAGGTTGCAGAGGGAGTCGGGTTGGTGATGGATGAGGGCAAACGTTAATATTGGGCCCGCGGGGGGTGGCGCCGATATTGGGATGGGCACTTGGATGAGCACTGAGGGTTGGCTACGCAGCCTGGCTGAGATGGGAAGAGAGGGTTCAAACTAGATTGGGGTGCTCGGTGGGGTGAGGGCCAGGGCCAGTACCTGAGCCACCACATGTAGCTGTGCTCGTAGGGGAAGAAGCTGTGCGGGTCGTCGCAGCAGTACTTGTGGTCGCGGAAGCCGCAGCAGAAGACGGCGGCCGCCTCGCCCCCCGGCCGCGGGCAGCTGAAGCCGCGCACCTCCTCCAGCTCGGCGCTCACGTAGCTCGTGCAGGCGCCGCTCATCGCGCCGGGCGCCGGCCCCGCCGCCCCGGGCCACGGAAGGAAGGCCGGCGAGAGGAGACGCGGGCGAAGACAGGACTGAGCTCTAGAGAGACAGAGACCGAGAGAGGCGGGGGTAAGCAGAGACCAGAGAGAGACAAGGCGAGAGGCGCCGAGACGAAGCGCTTAGAGACCCGAGTCCCCAAGGACCCGGAGAGGCGACCAGGTAGGCGGACAGGGCGCGGCCGGAGGGGAGGTGGAGGAGGGAGAGCCGCGGGGGGAGGACCCAGGAGCAATGGGAGTGGAGAGCGGCGGGAAGGAGGCGGGCGCGGGGTGGAGGGCGCCGGCGGAGCTGGGAGGAGGGAGCTGCCTCGGAGAGCCGCCTGGGCACCGGGCCGGCCCCTGCCCGCTCTTCCCCCAGCGGCCCCCCTGCGTCCCCAGTGACTGCGCGAGGTGCTGGATGCTCAGACGAACAGCACGTGTCCTGGGTGGCAGGGCGCCGATTCCACACCTGCACGGGCACCGCCTGGCGCTGGGCACTGTGCGGGGCGCGGGGCGCGGGCATCTCAGGGCAGAGGCAGGCTAGTGCGGGGCGCGGGGCGCGACCAGCCGGCGACCACACAGTAGGGTCAGTATGGGATGGTTAACACCTGACCTCACGTAACCTTCACAACAACTCCGAGGACCAAGGATTGTCAAACCCGTTTTATAAAGGAGAGCTCAGGGGCAGAGAGAAGTCATCTTTCCTGGCCCTCAGGCCCGCGGGATGGTAACCTGGGTCCGGCTCCTTCCCCGGGCCTTGCTCTCACAGCGCCTCTCTACCAGGGGACTTTTAAATGCCCTCATCCTCCGGCTCCCTTGCCGCTTCATTCCTTCCCTGAGCAGCTAGCTCATGCACTGACCTGTTCCTACTCCCCTGTTCACACCCTGTCCACACTGGCCTAGGACAAGGGGGCTAATTAATGTCCCAGATGGTGTCCCCACCCACCAGGAAGCAAAGCCAGTACACCTCTTCATTCTCAAAAATTATTTCCAGTTCATAAGGGCACTGTCCTCACGAGGGTCAGAGGACCACAATCTGAAGGAGCTGTATGAAGCCCTTAGAGCAGTGGTTCTCAACCTTCCTAATGCCGCGACCCTTTAATACAGTCCCTCATGTTGTGGTGACCCCCAACCATAAAATTATTTTCGTTGCTACTTCATAACTGTAATTTTGCTACTGTTATGAATCGTAATGTAAATATCTGATATGCAGGATGTATTTTCATTGTTACAAATGGAACATAATTAAAGCATAGTGATGAATCACAAAAACAATATGTAATTATATATGTGTTTTCTGATGGTCTTAGGCGACCCCTGTGAAAGGGTCGTTCGAAAAAAAAAGAGAAAGGGTCGTTCGACCCCCAAAGGGGTCGCGACCCACAGGTTGAGAACCGCTGCCTTAGAGATTTCCTGTCTGTCCTCTCAGGGTACATTGGGGAAACCGAGGCTCTGAGAGATTCGCAGTTTGGCTGGATCGCACTGAGCCAGGACCAGGGACTTCTGAGCGTTAATTGTCCCATTCATTATGTGAATAATTCCCTTTCAGCCAATCACAGGTACTGGGGCTTGAAAAGGACTGGTGGGCCATGTAATCAGTTATTGAGTCACAGCTAGCGTTAAAAATAATAATTAAATGGAATGGGGAAAGTGCATGGCAGATAGTAATGCTTTGTAAAATGCATTTCTTACTCTGAGCCAGGTCAAAAGATTTAAAAGCCACTGAATCTGACACCTCCCATTGTACACGCTTCATTGGTAGCTCTCCTCATCTTTCACAGCAGTGGGTAGAGTAGGAAATGATGGGATGCGTTGGGACTCCCCAATTCTTCCATCCCTTGCTTTGGGTGTGTGTGGGATAAATCATGGGCATCCGGGGATCTGGGCTCAAGCCCTAGCTCAAACCCTTCCTCAGTTTTTCTCTCTGTGCTTCCAGTTCCTTTTCTTCATCTAAGCCGGCTCCTCAGATACAAATGTGTGCCATGCCTTTGACCTGGGGCCCCTGAGAGGGGTTGGGTCTGGGTCTGCTCTTGAGAAACACAGAGTATAGTGGGGGAGTCAGACAGACATCACAGGACAGGGCAGTGAAAGGGGAAATGCAGGGACCATGGCCATCTGAAGAGGGGTCACCATCTGAAGGACCAGGGAAGAGTTTTGAGGGGGTAGTGTCCTCAAGAATCACTCTAAGGTCAAATATGAAAACTGGAGGGAATTGTTATTATCCCTCAGAAAACTTTTTCCAGCTGGAGATTTCTGCAAACTGTGCACTGGATAGTGTACTCTAATGGAGGTGCATTTTGGCCTCTTTATTTATTAGATGGAGAGTAAAGGGGAGGCGTGGAATCCTGTAGAAGGGAGAGAGCACTCCTGGAGACATGGGGTTCAACAGCTGGGCAGTAGAAAGCGCTCTGCTCTGGCTTTTGGTAAAATTGGGAAGCTGCCAACAGTTTTCAAAGTCTTTTTTCAGCCAAGAATTAATTTGTTCCTTCCAACAACCCTGTATGTGAGCCAAGCTAGGATGATTGTGCCTCTGAGAGACATAACAAGCCCAGTGTCACACAGGCAGGACTGGTACCCACGGCTGTCTAGCCAGGGGACCCTTTGGCAGTTTGATGAAGACTATGGACCTCTATTCAGAAGGATATTTTTAACTACGAAAAATAAATTACTTTGGAATACAGAGGAAACCAATTATATAAAATCATTATCAAAATATTTATTTTGTGATTTAGTCCTTTTTAAAAACATTAAATAACAAGCTCTAGAAATTGGTCTATTACCTATTGTAATTTCGAGGTAGTCAATGAGTGTAAACAGTATTTCAAGACATCGTTACTGTAATGCAATACAGAAATATCTATGATTTCTATTGGTGACAGAGTCTCAGGTACTGCTAATACTGTTGTGATTTGTTGCTTACATGCATGATAGAAGGAAATGCTACATTTTAGTTGGAGGTTAGTGAAAACAAGGATGTATATTTTTCAACTCTATCCATGGATCCCCTGGGTTCTGTAGAATCTATGCTAAAATCTTCTGCCTCTTCTGGTCTAGCTCCTACTCCAATGCTTGTTACTTTATCACATGCATCATGTTTCTTCCTGCAGACACTTATTGCAGACCTACTATGTGCCAGACAGTTTTACATCTTGCATGTCATATAGTCTTGAAAACTTCCTTTGAAGTAGGTGTTATTCTTTCCATTTTGCAGACAAGATAACTGAGACTCGAGGAGGTTAAGTGATTTACCCAAAGCCACACAGACAGTAGCTGAAATCAGAGTCTTGTACCACCTCTTCATTCCTCTCCAACTGAGGTTTGGGGGTCAGTGTCTCCAACACCAGAAGGAAAGGAAAGTATGAGAGAAGGGTAAGCAGGGAGAATTCACAGTTATGGAGAACACACGCAAAGTAGAAATTGTGCTGTGCTTTTCATTATCTCCTTTAATCCGCACAACAACCCTATGCAGTATAACTCTATTAAAAAATAAGTAAATAATACATATCTATAATAATAAAAGCATAATATGCTAATTAGACCAGACATCCTTCCGGACCTCCTTCCGGACAAAAGTGGGGGGCTGCGAGGGAAGCCCGGGTCTTGGGTGCCAGAGGGAAGCCAGTGCTGACAGCTGGGGGAAGGAAGGCCTACTCTTGCCCAAATTTCCTGCATCAGGCCTCTAGTTTATTATAAAACACAAATTAGAAAATATAAATAAACCAAAATAAAAATCACCTATAATCTCTCCACACAGAAATATCATTTAATACTTTGGTATGGAGAGTTCCAGATGCACATATACACACACAATTTTACACCCACTTTACGGATACGAAAACTGGACCCAGAGAGGTTAAGTAACTTGCCCAAGGATGTACCAGTAATAAGTTTCAGTCACCTGTGGTCTGACCTTAGGCAGGTCACCTTTCCTCTCTGTATCAGGGCAGTAGGGAGAGCCAAAGCCTGGCACTTGGAAAGCCATAACTGGAAGGAAGCCCCTCTGAGTGGTTTTCAAAATAGTGCCCTCTAAACCAAGGCAGCCTTGCTCCAGGAGCCTGTTTTCTTGGAGAGGGTTAGGGGGAGGGTGGGAGGCGGGGCCGGGCAGGGTTGGGGGTGGGGGAACCGCCTGCTCCCTGTGGTGGGCCACAGAGCTTGCAGCTGCAGTTGGGTGACTAGTGACTGCAGTTAACCAATCAATTGGGGATGAGAATCCGGTGCAACCCTCCTGTGATTGAGAACACAGTTCTTCTCAGTGGGCTTGGCCACATGTGTGGTCCGTTAGGAGTCCCTGGACTCTCCTCTTGCCCTACAGCCCCAGCTTGTGCCCACCTGGACCCCTTCCCTAGTGACTCCCTCAGATTCTTTCCCCAACCTTCCAGAATGAGGCTCTTGTATCTCATCCTAAGAGAAGTAGCTTTGCCATGGTGGAACAAAAAAATGCAGGGACAGCCCTGGCCAGTTGCTCAATGGTTAGAGCACCAGCCCAGAGACCAAAGGGTAGCTGGTTCGATTCCCAGTTAAGGGCACAAACCTCGTACCTCCGTTGCAGGCTCCATCCCCGCCCAGGCAAGCTCTTGCGGGAGAGACACAATGATGCGACTCTCTCACATCAATGTTTTTCTCTTTCTCCCCCGATCCCTCTCTCCCTTCCACTCTCTCTAAAAGCATCTACTGTCTTGACTGTACGTGTACCAGTCATTGAGCACCTTCCATGTTCCATCATCTCACAGGAATTACAGTTTCAAACTCCAGGTCAGAAGTTGTACCTGCTTCAGCCCTGGTTTCACAGCCTAGGGCCTGGTTCTCAAAGGCAGAGCTGCAGCTTTGTACTGCCTCTGTTCCTTTGTGTGCCTTTGTGCAAATCAGAAAGAAATATACCTCATCCTCTGGCCTGATGTAGCTCCATGCTGAAGATAAGGCTTGGTAATTAGAGTTCAAACTAGATTTCAACTCTCACTTATCCCTTCTTCTGGACACCTTCAAAACCTACATGACCATAAAGGTCAACCCTGCCTCAAGGAAGAAACTAATAAACAAACAAATAATTTTGAAATATGGGTATTTTAATATATAATGCTATTGAAACTCAGGTTAATTTATTCACCTCAGGACCCATTCAAGAATGGCAGATACTAGGATTTGTTCTGGTCTGCCAGTCCCCAAAGCTCAAAGAAACACTGCCTTTGCCCTCCTCCTCCTTCTTCATTTTATTTTATTTTAT